TCGCGTTAAGATACACGGTGTCTCGGCTACGCCCTTAACTGGTCGCGAGACACTACCGTGTCTCTTGATACAAAACAACTTTAAACAAATTTAAACAAAACAATAAATGGTATTAATATACGGCTCTAATCATAATAACAATATAAAAAGAATATTATTTGCTGCGAGAACCAAATGCTTAGCAATTCGCTAAGACAAAGTGAGGAACAATCTCGAATTTGAGATTTGAATTCCTCTGTTCTCTTTACCCCTCTAAATTGACGTAGACGAAAAAACAATAAATATTTTTTATAATTCTTTATAATAGTTATAAAAATAATGCTTCTATTTTTCCATAAAAATGCATTATTAATTCAAAGATATCAGCGTTTAGCGTTCATTGTGAAGTATATACATACATACATATGTATATGATATATTCCAATATGAAAAATTTGCAATTTTTTCTTTCTCTTTTGATTTTCTCAGTTAATAATAAAAAACGCGTTAAAAAATGTTAAATTGCGCTATTTCTTCTTAAAAGATCGACGATCGCGATTACATTGACAGCTCGACGGTAATCAGCTGACACAAGAGAACGATTACACTTTATAATCCTTAACCACGGTCGCGTGAATCTTCCTGCTTCGGTCTTTAAATCGACAAATTTCATGCGTGACGTCTAGACGTCCCACGTCCGATCATCGATTCAAACGTATTCAAATACGATTCCACCTCCTCCACCCTCGGCGCGCGATCCTGCATTCGCAAGGAGAAGGAGATGGCCACCCACGGCTACTTTGCTTTTCAAAAAGCCGGCATCGAGAGGCTCCCGCACCGAAGATCGTCGTCAATTACATAATACATTCGAATCGCAATCCCAGTTCTGTAAGAGCGTGCCAGTACACGTGAGGTACGCACGTCTCGATATAAGGAGTGTCGCGAACGTCACATAAACACGACAGCGCACAATCAATATTTTTATTCAATTTCTATATGACTCTACTTCAAGTCTAATAAATCTCTGAATTTTTCAAAATAATATTGGACCGAAATGTTTAATTTTCTCTCATAAGATGCCAACATTTATACTCCAGGATTATAATTCTTGAGAAGAACTTGTGAATTTGTTATCATAAAATCTTTAAAAACAGAGACAACGAATACTTACTGCAATTAATTTCTTTTGCATCTTAATTGAAGTTTATTCAAAACATTTACCGAGTTTATACAATGTTCATATGAAATTTTACCTGTATGAAAATTCAATGGGACACCCAGTACGTACTCATATATCCGCGACCGTGTTCGCCGCTATGAAGAATCCTCGAGGTCACGGTCACGAGGTGTCTCGCGAAAGGTAAAGCGCCCGACCAGTGCCAAAAATTGATATCTTTCACTGCGATCTTCAATCGCGTCGCAATCTGATCGCGTTGCGGGATGTATTTTTAGCCGACAATGAAAGTCGGAGAAGCCCCACAGAGTCGAACGAGATGGAAGATCGGCCGTCCATCTTTATGTATCGTGCTTTTAAATGTGTAAGTGAATCGATAATTAATTATTAGAATATCTTTGGATTCAATTAATACAAAATTTTAATTTCTTTTTTCAAAAAAAGAATCGATAAATCAAATAACATATTATAAGTTTCTTTAAAAAATTTTCACGATCACCTAACATCCTATTTAATTATCAATCATATCGAATATCGCGAATGCATCTCACATCATTTAAATATTCTTTAAAAAATCGATGCATATGTGCTATTAAAATTATATAACAACCTAGAAGTGTCAATTAATTTTCGAAATGGAAGAGAATATCATACTTTTTATGCGCGCACTCTTTCATTAATTAAGTAATGTTTAAATAATATTTATCAAAATATTGATACGCGTTTGGAACATAACATTATTGATCGAACGAGATCGTATTACGCGATGTCAAGTACACGTGTAACTTTCATGTATCAGCAAATAATTAAGGATAAAAATTATGTTTATTCGTAAATGATGTCATCGATCGGCAGATTAAGGGTGCGTTCCGTTATGCACTGCAAGTACTGACAGTACTACCAATAGCGTTCCGATATAGATAGCAGTGCACTGCGAAAGTACTATCATGAGTATATGACGTCATTAATTTTGACGTTATTTCCTGTTGCGATTACTGCAACCGGCGAGGTAAAGCACTCGCAGTAATCAAGATGGCTACCTCCATGTGTACGATGGAACTAACTTTTAAATTCCATATCTGAATATAATGATACAATATTTTTAACGTAATTTTTACATTTTATTCTAGGTATTTTAATTTGTCGTCTCATTTCATTTATTAATTCCATTTCCAAATCGCTTTCACTTGATGACTCACTCGAATCATATATATTCTCGATTAAATTATATGTAATTAATGCAATAATGGTATTATCCATTTCACCAATTTTTCACTCGATGATTATTAGCGAAAAAGGTTAGTTAAAAGTCTGCTGAAAGCGTACTGTAGTGCGTTCCGTTTTACTATTTTGCAGTAGCTTCAAAGTGCACAAAATTAAAAAGGAACGCTGTCAACAGTACACTTGCATGACGTCATAGTGCCAGTACTTGCAGTGCATAACGGAACGCACCCTAAATTTCTAATCAAAACTTTCTTTCGAGACAGAGCGAAATAACATTTCATTGCGATATCGCTTTGACATTCTATAACCGACTGTTACATGGCCTTAAATTTTTATAAATAATTAGAGCAAGGACTAAAATTTTCCGTCCTATGACTATCTAACGATTTCAACTGTCGTCTATCTAACACATGGCGCAATAATGCGTGAATGCAAACGAAACTGGACCATTCACCACCAACCCGCGAAAAAGTGCATTCCACTATGACGTAAGACACGCGTCATTGTATCGATCATGCGATTGCAGACTCGATCGAGAAACATCAAGAAAATTCAACTGTACCAAAGTAATGATAGCAAAGAAATATTTAATTTTTTTCAAGATCCGCATATACATACTATAAATAAGACTGCACACTATAGATAAGAATACACATAATCTGAAAAGATTATAAATAGTTAAATAAGCTAAGTAGAATTAATTAATCGCGACACTGCATTCGAAACCGTTGCATCAGTCGCTAATAAATGAAATATTAGGCCACGACAACTATGAAGTCGATGAAATTTTTTTGGTTTTTCTACCTGACGCTCTTTGAACGCGCAGTTCTGCTGCGCAGAAAGACGCGTCTCCGCAAAATAGACGACCGTGATGTCTCGCGTCTCGAGGGGGAAAAATAAAAAGAGGAAAATCTATGCGCGCTCGCGAGAGAAAGAGAAGAATTCGCAATGGACATGCACGAGAAGAGGTGTCACACATGCACGCGTTGCGATTTCCCGCTATCACGATCCCCAGAGCTGCCCGTCCCGTGGCACATTTGCGAATCGCCACCGCGCGTCTCTTTTCCGCTGGATTATGTTGATGATGGCGAACATCATCGTTCCCGGTCGGCTAGCAACGAGCCGACGACGAGGGGCGAGCGCGCGGCATCCTGAAACCGAAGAGAGGAAAAACAAGCGGCACCTATGCGTGCGTATTGTGCATCCGCAGACGCAACGAAAACAAAGCGAGAGAAGATCGCTGACGAATAGATATCGACGAGACACCCCGTAACCGCCTAACATTGTGCTTGCATACCGCCGCGCGGTGATCGATCATCTCTATGCCAATCTGCTCGTTGGTGTTTTCCTCCAAGTCGCGCATTAAGATATGCGAATGCGACGCGACGCAAGGTTTCCACCGCGTGAAAAGCGCGAAGACTGACCCGATGATAGATTGGGATCTTGCAAAAAAAGCGAGATCGAATCGCGGGAAAATCGATAGAAAATTTCACGATTTATTCTCATGCCTCCTCTTTTGCTTATGTGCATACATTTCAAAGTATCTGTCCTTTCTCTATTGGTACTGACTAATAAATTGAAAAATAAATAATTGAAAAATTATCTTGTTAATTAAGTAAAATTATCTTGTTAATTTAGACGCGAGACGCTAGGTTTCGATGACCCGATGATAGATTGGGGTCTTGCAAAAAGGCAAGATCAAATCGCGGGAAAATCGATAGAAAATTTCACGCTTTATTCTCAAGCCTCTTTTTTGCTTATATATACATTTAAAAGTATCTATTCTTCTTCTATTGATACTGACTAATAAATTGCAAAATTATCTTGTTAATTAAGTAAAATTATCTTGTTAATTAAAATGCAAATGCGACGCGACGCAAAATTTCCACCGCATGAAAAACTGACCTGACTGACCTGATGATAGATTGGGGTCTTGCAAAAAAGCAAGATCGAATCGCGGAAAAATCGATAGAAAATCTTTATTCTCATACCTCTTTTTTTTTTGCTTATACGCATACATTTTAAAGTATCTGTCCTTTCTCTATTGATGCTGACAGATAAATTGAAAAATTATCTTAATACATAATACATACATTTTATGGTCAGCTGTGACGTGTACCTTGAAGAGCCCGAAGGTAGTCAACCCTATCGATTAAACAACCGATAACTGACGGTGCCCATGGCGCCACGCTCTTGTTTTCGGTAATTTTACTCACGTCAACTCACAGTCACAGTTTGCAATTTACATTTCACGTTTTCGTAGATTCTGGAGAAAAGATTCGATTGCAAAAAAACAATTCTCAATCATGAATACGTTCGAACACGATGATAATGCGTTGAGTGACTCGTGTAGTCTCTCGTTTAATTCTCTAATGGAGAATAAAAGTGAAGTTTCTATTACTTGCAAGAATGCCTCTTCTACATCTGGAAACAAGGTAAATAATATTGTAAGAAATATATTTTCATATATTACATAATATTTTTAAAAAGTGAGAGAAAAAGATATGTTTTACATAATCTTTATTTTACTTTTTTCTAATATATTATAGTGTCGTTTTTGTTATCAAAAGAAAAAAATATTAAACCTATCTGTTTTATTTCTTGCAAAATTATGCGCCTGTAAATGAAACGAATTAATGAATTCGTATTTGCAAAGATCGTCAGGGATTATTGTCCGGCAAAGCTCAAGGTTTCAGACTCAATCACGGCGGATCTCGTCGCGAAGACGCAATCTGAAATAGAGAAATGCGAAAATTTATGCGGAAGTGAGAAAATAGAAGCAACAAACGACGTCAATGAAGACGGTGCTCCAAGAGTTTCCTTAAATTACAATCACATGTTCGATTTAAATCATGAAAATCCGTCTTATTGTAATTCTAATATGACAAGCGATTGCGACGTCGTTTTCACGAGCAACGATTTCGAATACAATGACACGACAATTCTGGCAGAAGATTCTGAAGACAGCGAAAAGACAATTAAAGAGGAGCTCCTGCTAGATAACGCAAATTCTTTGGATAGTTTCGCAGATTTGTCAAAAAATCGCGGCAGTATTGATTCGGCGTACGAAAGAATATGTCGAGTGAAGCATAGAGAAGAAAAATTTGTTGATTCAGGAATTTCTTTAAATAGTATAAATAATGTTATTGATAGTTGTATTGATTCGCGGATCAGAGACGAAACAAGCGTTTCATGTAAAAATATTGAAAAAGAGGTTAAAAATAAAGAAACGAGATTCGAACGGAATGTTACTTCGTACATAAACGACATCGAAACTCCTCTTCGAGAAGAACCTCTTCGAGAAAATATAGCTATTTCAAGTGTTGAATCTAACAATTATTATATAGATAATAACGAAAGTTACCTTAAAGATGCCGTCGATTTTTTGAAATGTACGAGAGAAAATATGAACCATACGTTAAGCATTGAAGAAGACAGCATAGAAAGAAAAGAAATGGATAAGATAATCAAGAATCTTTTGTACGCAAACGATGACGAACAACACGATTCGGTGGAGGAACGAATGGTAAAGAGTTTATCTGCAGAAATGGAAAGCGATCACGATGATATGATGCGGAAGATAATTGAAAGCTGTTCAAATGTTTCCATAGACTTTCAGCAGCAATCACCGATACGAAAAAATTCGACTCCCGATCTCGAAGAATCGTGTAGCGAATACATGATTAAAAAATTTCGGAGAAACAAATGTTTCTTGCATTGTCGCGATGTTTCTGATACTGCCATAGCAAAAGAGGATATATTAAAAACTATTCAAGAAGCGGAAAAAATATTAACTGACAATCCGTATAATGACATATCGGAAGAGACAAACATTAATGAGAATGAAATGTACGAGAGAGATAATTCGTCGGAAAGATTTACAAAAGAGATAAAAGATGAACAGTACAAAACAATGAACAAGGAAGAAAATAATTTGAACAAAGATACTGAAATAAATTTAGCAAATGTGGAAATTGAGAAAGTCGGCGTCTCGGAATCAAATGTTGACAACAATCTACAAAAATTAGCTGAAATCACGGATTCAGATCGTCCTAGGTCACACATCGAGATTCAAGAAACTTTGAAGAAGATAGCAGAAGAAAAAAGAAAAATAGAAGATCGAAAGAAAAAATCATTGCAAACATTATCGAAAAAATTAGAGGAAATTGACAAGTTTATTGCTGATCGTTACGATATTTCTTATAAATCTGATAAAGATCTTTCTGAATTCAAAATTCCGGAGAATTTCGCCGACGATGATTCCGACAGTCTCGATGATTTTCAGATTATTAATGAAAATGTCGAGGTTCCATTAACGAAGGCCGAAGTAATCGAGAATTTAAAACTCGAAGAATTGGAAAAGGAACTCGCGAATGAGATGGAGAAGCATAAGAAACTAATGGATGAATGTCAGAAGATTTTTGCTACGGATTTAGAACAGATTCAGCAAGCGACTTTAGAGTCAGAATCTAAGCAAATTTCTAACGACGAAGAAAATGATAAAGAAACTGCAAATCAATCTGGAAATGACGAAAATATAAGCAACAAATTGAATGAAACGTCTGGAATAATAACTGAAACAACAACAATCGAAGTCGATTCGGAATCTGATGACTCCTTTTCGGAAGATTTGAAGAAAGTGGAAAGAACATACATCAAAGGAAAGGTGTATGATTTCGACGAGAAAAAACATGGAGTTAGGTGAGTCTATAAAATAATAATTTGTCACATATTTTCAATATCATTTCAAAAATAATCATGATTTTAGAATGACGGAAGAGCTGATCATGAAGCACTGCAAGGAACATAAATTGTATCAAACGCCGCATTTAAATGACGTCTTGTATTTGCATTACAAAGGTACGATAGAGTTAATCGTACTGACACACTGGAACAAAAAAAAATCCCATTCTTTTTTTCAGGATTCTCCTTTATCGAAAATCTCGAGAAATATACAGGTCTCAAGTGTCTGTGGCTGGAGAGCAACGGTATACGCGAGATCGCCAATTTGGAAAATCAGAGTGAACTCAAGTGCCTGTACCTGCACCAGAACCTTATCAGCAAGATCGAGAATCTGGACTGTCTGAGGAAGCTCGACACTCTGAATCTTTCGCACAACACGATACGGAGGATCGAGAATCTCGGTGACTCGAGTCGAAGCGAGTATTATCCCAGATGACCTTGACCTTGACGTGCCTCTGCTTTTCAGACAGTCTCAAGTTCCTGAACAACCTGAACCTGTCGCATAATTATCTGCGAGAAACCGCTGACATCGAGCATCTCCGTCTGCTGCACGCGCTCTCGATCTTGGATATCTCTCACAACAGGATCGACACCTGCGACGTCGTTGACGTAAGTCGATAATTACGCGCGTCGCGCGCGGGATGCATAACTGAAGTGTATTTTCGAAATGGCAGGTGGTACAAGCGAATTTCCGTACAAAACAATTTTATAATTAAACAATTTTATTATAAACTCACCCTTCTAATTTTCTCCCAATCGATCATTTAAAGATTATTAACACGATGTTATATATAATTGCATTCACACAAAATTTGAGTTTTCACTTAATTCTTCTCGAATTTAACTATGCAAAAATAAAATAAAATAGAAGACTTCAATTTCAATATGTATCATGATATAAAATATCTCTGTGAGTCATACCTTAGAGATATCACGTTCGTCGAAAGCGCGAGCATAGGCTGGATTGTTTAGATTCTGGGAGACATGAAGTCGTTGCGCGTCGTAACGTTAACCGGCAACCCGGTGCTGAAGCAGATAAAGATGTACCGCAAGACTATGATTCTGAAGTGTGAGAATCTGCAGTACCTGGACGATCGGCCGGTGTTTCCGCGCGATCGTGCCTGCGCCGAGGCTTGGTAAAATCTATGAGCAAAAACGAGTATCGACAAAAACGGGTATCGTTATCCTTAAAATATCTCTGGGTCCAGGATGCGCGGCGGTGTCGACGAAGAGATGGCCGAAAGAAACCGGTGGATCCAGGCGGAGCAGAAGAAGATCAACGACAGCGTCATGGGTGAGTAAAAGATATATTCTTTTAGATCCGTGTTTATAGTCGTTTCTCAATCCAAGAGCATATATTAGATGAGATACTCAGATTGGAGTTTCGTGTATTGAGATATGGACGATTCAATATAGTTACATTTTGATTCAACTGAGATTATTCACCTGATAAACGGAGCGATAACTCACCTGAAAAACTACAATATATCAAACCATAACAAACCATAACTTTATTAAACTATATATATTTATAATCATTTCTTAAATTTATTTCAAGAGCATGTTAGGTGAGATACTCTGATTGAAGTTTTATGTTTTGAGATATGGATTCAATAGTTACATTTTGATTAAAGATCAACTGAGACTATTCACCTGAGGAATGGAGCGATAACTCACTTGAAAAACTGTATCAAACCATAACAAACCATAACCTTATTAAATCTACTGTATCACGTCTCAAGATTAGTTTCAGTTGAGTTGTCAGCAGAATCACGACTATAAATACAAAGCTTAGTTACTTGCCAAGGTGGACTCGAAATGGCTCGAAATGACTCGTTTTTCCCTTTGACTCCTTTCACCTGTTCCTTGGATCTTGATCTTTGTTAACCTGTCGATTGTCGCGTTCGCCCTCGAAAGCCCTGATAAACAAAAGGAAGCTGCGCAAACCGGTCGAGACGTCCGAAAAGGAGGCGGTGGATACGAAGAAGACGGAGGAGGAGGAAAAGGACGAAGAAGTTGCCGCGAAGTCAAGCGCGCACACCGCAACGAGGAGCCACGGTCTGGTAAGAACTAGTTTCGTCAAGGTCTGGTACAGAATTCGTGCTTCGAATAATATCATCATCCATCGGTCCCGTCGACTATTTAATCATTCACCACCGTAAAACCCCCACACCTCCCTGTATCCCGTGATACCGACCACGTTGAACATTCTAAAGCTCGACCTGGAAAGAAAGAAAAAGTCCGAGGGGCGATCCTTCCTCGATTCCTCATCGTCGTCGGACGAAGAGCTCGCGAGCAACGAAGAAAACGAACGTGAGTGGCAAAAAGAAGGCGAGGAAAGTGACGGAAGGAGGCCAATGGCGGAGGAAGAGAGAAAAGTCGCCGATGAAAGCAACGAGGAGCCTCTGTTGCCCTGGAAAGTCGAGGTGTGCAATCTTTAGATTTTCCTGACAAATACAGATTTTAAAAAGTATACAAAATTTATTCACTTATTTCTTATTTTTAGGCTCAAGAAAAAATTCAATCACGAAGACTGATCGAAGAAATATCGGAGTCCAAAGAAAATATTGTCAGTGACGAGGGAAGAAAATGGGACGGAAAACAGATTTTGGACATCCGTAAAAGCACACATGATCTCGAGGTTGTTAAAGAAGAAGAAATATCAAGTTTACAAAAAACGATCGGTGATATCAATAATGAAATAAACGGTAAGCAGAGCTTTTGTGTTAATTACTTAATTTTACAACAATGTAAAATAAAATATTTTTAAATATATCATAATTAAAAGATCATTTTTACATTGAAAACATGGCAATTTTAAAATTTGCATAGATCGCAAAGACGAGAAAATATCTACCTGCTCCGTATCGAACGACACATCGGATCTAAAACAAATGTTAGAAGAGAATCAGAAAGTCACAAGAGCGACCACCGATATAAGAGACGATGCATCGAGCAAAAGTATCAAGAGCTATCAAAGAAAAAACAAAGAATATTCGTTCGGTTCTAAACTTAGCAGTATCCGAGAAGAGATGAGAGAATTCTGCGACAGTATGGACAAGTTTGTTGACGAAAACAAGATAGTATTTAAAAACGGTGAGGTGGAGGGATTCTGGGGCGAGAGGAAGGTGATGGATGAGAATCTGAAAATTAATTCCACTGATGATAGCGAGATTGAAGAAACTGGGACCAAGGTTTTCACGAGCAAGGAAGATGAATTGCGATGGTGGAGTACCAAGGAGAGAAAACTGAAGGTCAAGGAGTTCATGAGACAACGAGAGGAGGAAGCGAGGAAAAACAAAGAGATTAAAGATGCTGCGACGTGCAATAATTCCGATTGCTCTTTATTGGAAGATGGAAAACAGGCAGTCGATGCTACGGACAATTTTCAGGACGTATACGATTTAATGACGATGAAGACTTGCCCGAGCTCTCTTCCAAATTCAACAGAAACATACTCTGTAAAAGATACAGAAGATTACACATGCGAGCGATCTGCAAAGCAACAACTAGAAAATTCATGCGGAATATTCAGTAATCTCTTTGCCGAATTAAGAAATCGAAACATTAGTCAGAAAATTAACAAATCGAAAGATTCGAGCGAATTGATGATTCTAGAGGAAAAATTGAATTCCGAAAAATCAACCGACACGATGCAAAAAAATATCCCTGAAATTATGACAGATCTTGTTGATTTCGTTGGACAGTCCTCGGAATGCAAAAAAATAGAAATTAAGGAGAATACTGCAAAAATCGATGATTTGGAAGACAAATTTAATAGTTTTCTACTGAAATCTTCAGAAGTGAAGAAAAACGTCGACGAATCCGATGACGATTCTTTTAAGACAGCAACGTCTCTTCCAGAAGACTCGCCAATTTTGGAAAGCAATCAAGAGTCACTAGAAATTCTAAGATTGCCCAATACAGATATTAACTGTGATAAAATTATCGATACTAGTAAAAATGAAAATATCGATCTAGATGACTGTTGCGAGGAAATAATTTTGAAGGAAGAGCACAATGACTTAATTTACGAGAACAAAAAATTATTGATAAAATAGAAAATTCTTCTGCTAAAATAGAGATGTTAAACAGTGAGCAGAAATTATCAACTGATACCGAGAGATCTAATTCTCAAATGGAATCGCTTGTCCGAAAAATAGATTGCTTTTCTCTGGGAAGAATAAATCATCAGCCTTCGAGATTGACTGGCAAAAGAACTCGCGAAGCGGAAGATGTCGAAATAATTAATAACAAGAAATCCTTTTTCATGGAGGAAATAAAATCCGGAAGAAGGTCGGAGGAACGCAAATCTCGCAGTCAAATCTCTGAAAAATGCAGACAGCACGTGATACAAGAGACAAAAAGATTTGCGAAGAAAGTATCGCCGTTGATCGATAAATGCATAACGAGTCTGATAAGAGATTCAGAACATATAGACGGAAAATCGCAATATCATAAATACGATCGACGAAGTTTTGGAGAATATTTGCCATCCAGTTTCGTTTCGAAAATGGATCTTAATAAACCCGCAGGTGATTCTGACGAACGAAACAATTGGCGCGATAAATATAGTAATAAATCTAATAATATTACAAGCGTACAATCTGAAAGACAAGAAATAAAACAAATAGTCAATTCAGAATGTGCCATTGATTCAAAATCAGCTAATGATTCTGGTAAGAGTATGTAAAGAAATATATAAATATTATTAAAAAATATATATATATATATACATATATATAATTTAAAAAATACATTACAAAAATTATTTACTATAATATAAAAATATGTTACAGATATTCAATCACTTTCCAATCTTTTACGGCAGTCTGAAAGCATCTATGAGTCAGAATCATCGGCCATAAATACCGACGTATCGCTTTACAAAGAATTTTGCGATCATCTCCACAAATTAGAAAGCGAAAAAAAATTGCTCATTAAATCAGATTTCACGATGGATACAGAAGAATCAAAAGAAAAATTATCTGACGATAAATCAGTACAAAACGCAGAAAATCCGATAAAGAAATCAATCAAACCACTGATAGAAGTGATTTCTGAAAATTCTGCAATTTCGACGAATTCTGAACAGATTATAGGACAAAAAGAAATTAATAAAAAGTCACACACTTCTCAAAATGTTTTCGATGATTATAAAAAAGATGTTAGTATTTAAAAAAATTTTTAGTTATATAAATACCTCATTAAATTTTATTAATATTATTATGTAATATTACCTTAGCAGGATGTCTTCAGGATGGTCGAGGAAACGGCTGCAACATCTGATGATTCTGAAAGTCATATTAATCAAGAAAGTGCAATTAACTTGACAGAGAGAATAAAGATCGAACCGTTTTCAACATCGCGTACACACACATTAGACAATGCAGAATGCAAAGAAAAATGTGTATCAGCAAAGGAAAAACGCGAAACTACCACGATAAATATGAAAAAGAGTATAGAAATGCAAGTTGCGCAAGAAAACTAGAACAAATTAATGTTTTATTATATTATTTTCAAATCGATCATTGTGCAATTATATAATCCATGCTTCTCATATACGTTAATCAGATAAAACTGTAAAGCTGACAGAAATTCTATATTTAGGAAAGCAAGTGTCTTTACACGATTTGCTGTAGTTCGTTAGAGTTTAAGTTTGTAGAATGTTCGACTCAAGCTTATCTTATATTCCTCTACCTGAAATAAATACGTTATCGTCGCAGAATCGATTGTTCCGAATTCGAGGATTATTAAAACGAGAAAGAAACGAGACAGGTGGTGGAACAGATCGACCTTCTACTACGTACACTTTATTTTTGTGTTCCACACTCACATCAATTATATAATAATAATAATCATAATAATGAGACGCGATGGCGGTGATGTCAATGGGCCGTAATTAATAATAGTAATAATAATTAATCCGTAATTATATGCGCAATGATAAATCGGTCGCACGCGAAAGAAACGATAGTCTGTCACGTTTAAATATATTATCTCTGTATCCCCTCGTCTCTTAAATTCAGCCTGTGGCCTCCTCTCCAGATCTCAAATAGATCGTTTATACCCGCAGAAGCTACCACCTTGTCACTTGGCAAAAAGCTCTTGATATTATACTATATTTATATAGAGGGTGATGCCGCGCGTATATAACGAAATTGTCTCTCTCACACTTTCTCAAATCCCGTCCTTTCACATGGTCTCCCTCATTTTGTTTATAACATATCTGTGTAGGGAATAATAAGGAACGCGTATCCCCTCTCGTTCTGTCAAACAAGCGTACGGATTACACACCTTCCGCTAAGATCGTTTATAGTAATAGATTTATAAATATGCGCGTATATATCACCTCGCTCTCTCTCTCTCTCTCTCTCTCTCTCTCTCTCATCTCCGCACAGGCACGCAAAAATTAAATTTGGTAGTTTTTTTTCTTTTTTTTTTCTTTATATGCATCTTTGTTTTCTTTTTCTCACTCATTCTTACGTAATTTACTTGTGTTCTCTCATAGATAATTCTTTTCTCTCTCGCTCGCATTCTCGTTTGCTCCCTAATTGTAATGTAAGTTATTCTTTAGAACGTAAATCGAGGGCGTCGACAAAGAACGATCGATGATCGAGAGTGAGAAAATCGGGAACGAGAAATCTCGCGCGAAGAGAAGTTTCCTTTGATTCGAACGCATTGATTTTCGTCGCGTCCATCGAATCATTTTTTCATCGACACCCTCTTACGTCTCTTTGGGCTCTTATCTCCTCGTACTATCGTATCGTTATCGTGATAATAGTTGTATGGTTGTTTCCGTCGCGGTTAATGATTAGTTGATGCGTTACAGCCCTTACACTTTACGACTTATGACTTACGTTATACAGAGAGTATCTTACGCACTAAGTTTATCTCTTTTCAAAAAGTCGGGAAGTCCGCCGCTTTGGTTTTTCCTTTTTTTTGTCCCTTATCGTAGGGCCACAATCGACTTCTCATCGTCGATTACGGTTACAGTTTTGTCGATATCAAAATCGAACGGCGCTTTTTTATCAGAAAGGATGCTCTTTTATTTTCCGTTTTGTTTTCACAACGGTATATATAAAAAAAGCAATTGTTCTCTCGCGACACCGTAACAAACATATATAACTCCGGTTATCCTAATTTGCAATCACGAAGCAGAAGCAACAGAACTTTGTCACACCTGTCATGTTCTCTGTTTTTTTTTCTTTTACAGTTTGGCTTTTATTATATAAGAGAGATTAATCATCTCGATCTCACTTTGACATTAAAAAAACGCGCGTCAGTCTTTTGCTCTGATGCAATAAAAATAAATCTTCTCCCGCCGTTCCCTTACTTTTGTTCCCGTTTCGGACGAAGCTTCGTCGTGAGTTAATAACTAAAGCGATGCGTTTTCTTATTTCTTAAAAGAGCGCGATTATAATGAGCGTTCTCGCCGATAAATTCTGATAAGCTTTGTACTTTGATAATCATTTCATAATTAAGATTGTCATTGTAATATCACGAAAAACCGAAAAGAAATCAATAAAGCAATATACATCGAATTTATGTTAAAAAGAAATGTAATTAAATTTTTTTAGAGTTCAAAGATATGTTCCAACGAATATATATATATCATCGCGAATAACATTATATATCTATGTATCTGATATCAAAAACTTGCTAAAATATTTTCTTTTTTTTTTTTAATCTTAAACATAGTTATCATTAATTATTCAATTAAGAAACGTGAAAAAGTTAAAGGGCATAAAAATACGAGTTTATCAATTGGCCGTTTTTCTCCTTCATGATTGCAGATCGAACGCACCAGACCTTCGTAGCACTATTGTAAGTTTTACAATAAAATCACGTAAAAATCGTTAGACGATTCAAGACGCGTCTAAAGGAAACTTTACAAAACCATAAACCATGTCTAGGTAATGAAGTTCATAAAAATGCCGTTTCCTTATTAGAATTTCGGCTCATTATTATATCACGAATTACGTTAATGTTAATGAGAAATGCTGCGAAGGAATCGAGTTTACAAGTATTGTAGTAACAAAAGCTCGTGTTTCAAATTTGCAATTTGCTTAGGGCTTAGAAGGATACGCACTTCGTTTGCACACCCTCTTAGGTATATTTACGTATGTATGTGTGTGTTAAAAAAAACTCATCGATGACTATAAATGACTTAGAATACGACATTGAAATCGAAAGATATTATTATCGAACACTATGCAAACGTGACCTTCATACGCTCATCGTCTTTTTAACATATGATATTTGCAATGACATTTCTCTGGACATATTTAATGAGCGTTCCACATTTAAATACGTAATGAAATAATTACAATGTGTAAAATACAAATATAAATATGTAATTATAATTTTTGCCCTTTCTCCTTGGGATCGATAAAGCATATTTTTGCATAGCTTCTACTTTTTATTGCAGATTTATTGAATTTTTTTTCCGCGAAAACGCATTTGTCAAGTTTGATACTTGATTTATTTCGCAATTTCTTAAATATGCACAGTGAAAGATGCGCGAATGAACCGCGTACTGCAGTTTCTTTCACGCATACATGCAGCAAATCACGCAATTTCGTAAAATGAAATAATTAATCGATCATCCCCGTCTAGCGCGATTTTTATTTCGCGTCATTTTAAAAACCGCGACAAGAGATATAGATACAATATAACGTTTTGAGATAACGGTATCATGATACTAATTATGAACCATGCATCCTTAATTGCGGTTATCGTATTTAAACGTTCTCTGCTTTCTACGTAGATGATCTATCTGATGATCAATGAATACGAACAGATGACTTTTGTGTGCTCGAAAGAATCATTTCCAGATTATATTTCGCGTAAACTTCTCTCTATTGCGGAATGTTATCGGACATTACATTATTCTGATAAATTTCCTGTGAAAGTGTAGGTATAAACAGATATCGAAAGCCAGCATAGCTTATTGCAATAGAAATAATGCGTATATAAGTGTGTGTATGTGTGTAAAGATATCTTTATATTAAAAAACATTTAGATGGAACATGGAATGACTCGATATAGGGAGAAAGAAAAGAAACTTTGAAATTTGATTTCAATTATTCGAATATAATAATTATCCATCGCTGTAACTCGACGAAATTCGCGTCTTTCTCTATATTTACCCGTAAACAGATTGTTTAATTTCCTTCCGAAACAATTCTTCCTAACATCATACGAATGACGATGAATTCCGCGACAGAGACACATCCACGAGGTCTTCAAGATGACAATTATAAAAAAAAAAAAAAAACCATTTATTTAATTCGTAAATTAGTCTGTATGTTGCTCGTTTATATTACAAAAAAATATAGCCAATTGGGTTCGATTCTAACAATTTTCGCATGCCTTGTAGAAATATCCTCCATAGCAAGTGACTATAGGCGAAATGACCTAGGCTAACTGTCAATAGTGATTAATTATTTATCATTATTTTTATATACGTATATATAATCTTTTTATATATAAAAAAGTGATGAAATCTCTTTGTAACTATCTACCATTTAACAGTGAAGACGTGTTTTGCCCTCAGTTACTGAGTGAATGTACGTTCCTCTCCCGAGATTAATGTTCACCGAAATACTTTACACTCGATCTTCATCGATGCACTTTTCACTCGTCTTTAGTTGTCTTGCACGTCGCACGGCCACGTCCTCTTGCGCGTTCTTTCTTTTTAAACTTTAACAGTGGTTTGCACGGTTATTTAATGTATTTCTTTTATGTATAATACACGTACTACATATCGTAATTTATTCTTTTTTTTTTTTGTGCATAACTTGAAAGAGGCAGTATTCCTGACGGCTTCTCGTCGTCCATCTTAAAACAAGTCACGAAAGTGTCGTCGGCACATTCTTCACGTTTCTTCCCTTTCTTTCCTCCTTTTCCCCCTTTTACTAACTACATGTATACTAGAGTGACGATTATTCCATAATTGAAATAGGACCCAACATAGACCAACTCGCCTTAGCCAGGGTGTTGCTTGACGAAATCAACGATGTAATTAGCGAAAATAAATATACGCGCGTTCAAAATCAAAACATAAAAAAAATTATTGGGATAGTGAAACCATAAAGTGCGCAAGTATGTTGCTTACGGAGGGTGGGAACAGAAAGCGAAGAAGCGATAAAAAAATAACGGAAACGCCACGTTTGATTATTTTCCCAAGTATTTTTATTCATCTTATAGTATATACTATTAAAGGCTCAAAATAAAAGAAAAGGCTGATTTCATCAGTGATTTTCTCATCGTCCTGTGTCGCAATTAATCTATCGTTTTTGTCATATTTTTTCTGAGAAAAAAAAACAAATTAAAGTCGGATTTCATAATCTTATTCGCGCAAATAAGGAGACAAGAGATTTTAGAAAAAGATTTCTGCTTACAAAGTTCTTCACCTGTTGTTCTTCTCTTGCATTCTTTTATTTGCGCGCGTGCTGTTAATATGACTAGAGGCTTAATAACTTGTCAATTTTGCATTACTCGTCGATAGAACTACTTTTTCTTACTCGTACCAAGGATAAGAAACCATATTGTTTCAAGGCTTCAAGAGGTACAAAAAGATTGAGAGAGGATTCCCCTCGGCGGGAATCTACGGAATCGCGAAATGCAATAAGCACAGATCTGTTTTCATTAATCTGCTTATTAAAGTCTCCTCTTCCTTCAGAATTCTCTGCTCTAAGATTGTTCCTTTTCGCACGGATATTGTTTCGAAGTTGCGCCAGAAAAATCGAAAAGCGGTCATTTTAATCACGCTTTTGTCTCTCGTTTTTCGAATCGAACTTTGGAAGAATTCTTAATAATACAAAGAATCGAAGGAACAAGAATCTTCTCTTTCGAGACGGAAAAAGATCTTTTGCCCGTTTGACATCCAACATGTACAAAGCATTATATAAGCGAGATTAATCGCGAAGAGTTGTGTATAAAAAAAAAAAAAAAAGAACCGGTTTTACGAAATGTGTCAAATGTTTCGAGAAAATTTGCAACGTCTCTCGAAAGTCCTCATTGATACTCACTTGCTCCGCTCTAGCCAAATTACATAGTTAGTTCCACTAGGAAAAATTTTTCGAAGAATCTTTCGAAGAAATAGTCGCTTTCCGGAATCCACGCTTGCTTCCTCCAATTCTCGCGATTTTTGCTAACTGATACTCGATGATATATTCTTCAAAAATTGTTTCATGATGTCGCAATGATTTCTAACATATACAACGTTATTTTTATTTATATATTACAACAAAAATGCACAAGATTCCTATCAATCTGAGATTTGTTTCCCAATAAACTTAAAACAAAACGCAATAACATGCGATTATTAAATTCTATTTTCAATACAAATATATAAAATACATAAAAAAAATAAAATAAAAATAAAAAAACGCGTGTAAATGAGCGTGGTTGCCGGAAGGCGATTGGACCATATTGCGATATATCCTGCGATACTGAAGAACCATCGACCTTATTTATACTTATATATTAAATATTAATAATTATAAATTACAATCGTCGTTAATATTAATATTATATAATCGTTATCATTATATTATTTTTAAATGCATACACAGTTTCAACATCTATTTCCGACAAAAAAGGACAGAACAGGCTGGAAAGGGAGAGGAAAGTGATGGTTTATCGCAGAAAGAGGAGGGATATAAAGTGAGCTTAAAAGTTATCGAAACAGTACAAATACGAGTTAACGAAAAAGGCTGTAATAAACAAAACGTGATGAGCGAGATGTAAAAAGAAATCACGATAGAAAGGCGGGAGGGGGGGGGGTTATCTCGCGGTTCTTCATTCAACCTGATTCTTTGGGTCCTATTTCAAGGAAATTTCTGGCACGACTCTTTCGATCGAGAGCACGTGCCTGCCTCGTGCACGAGGATTAATTGGCGCTGAATCGATAATGGGAAGAGATACGATACTTCGTCAGAGACGATAGTCGAAGATAATTCTTTTTCTCCTTCCCGCTGTTGCCACAATCAGGGATAATTGGAGTGAGGGTAGGGGGAAAGGTTAAGGTATAGACACTATGAACTAAACAAATACACGTTACATTAAACGTTACTTGACACGTTACGCTGGCCCGTCGCTTTACGCGTTCGTAATTTTATCGCAATAAAAAAAAAGACGAAATTCAATACCTGGTCTGCTTTCTCGCTCACTGATCCGTCACTTCAAGTCTTCTTGTGATCTTCTACGAACGTGATCTGTCGACTTTTTCATTTACCAAACCATCGTATTACAAATTATTTATCAAAGCGTTCTCTGCATTCAACATCGTCATTATTCGCGCATCTCGTGTCTCGTATCCCGTTCCTCCTTTTTTTTTGATTGGCAATGGGCCGCACGCCTTTCGCGCTCTCGTTCACACGCTCTCACAAGTTCCGTTCATTCTCTTTTACTACATGCTCAATCGCTCTCGCATTCGCAAAAAAACGCAGGCGCAGGGCGGCCTATGGCAGAAGTCTATACAAAATAAATAACGATACATCTACGAAATTCATCAAGGGGGTCGTGATAATAATAGCAATAATAGTAATAGTTGTAGCGGTGCGAAGTCGGCGTATTATCGTGTTAAAAAAAGTGATCATCTTGTTATTCTTTTCTTCCTGCTTGGCCGCTCGATGCTCGTGCACGAGGGCAAAGCTTACGTGACAAGTGTGTGCGACTTGAATGTATTTCGAGGCTGCTGGTGAACGATCCGCATCTGTTCTATATTTTATTCGATTACTCGCTTTTGTGTGCAAGTATATGCAATTCGTGTCTTTGTGACTCTTTGTGAATCTCCATTGATACACCTGTGCGTTCAGTGTGCGTCGTATGATTCGAACGCAACATTGCAAGACTATCATGACCTCTGACTGGCTCGTCTTTTATTTCCGGATTGCTACGCAATATCCATGGTTGCACATCCTATATTCTCCGCCCAATACAATTGTGTATCGGGAAAAGTAACTCGCAGCCAACCACCGAAGCAGCCATTAACGGTATTTTCTCGACAATGAACCTTGATTCGAGATGGAAATCTCTCGACGATCGTCGGCACGAGATTGTCGTCCGTCCTTCGAACTTTGGAATCCTCGACTGGGAATACTTCGTAGGAAAAGAACTATCAAAGCCATAGAATAGCACGTGCCTCTCGAAGAAAGTCCTTGAGAAAGGGGAGGAGAAAAAGAAATGCGTGCCCGATGCCATAAGAAATTCTTGACTGTTGGTCTTGTTGTCGGCGCTCATTCTCGATTCTTATCCTCTGCCGCGCATTTTTTGGCAACAATGTATATTCGATCCAATTGGAGTTTAGATTCTTCCTAGAAGCGTTGATATTCGTGGTCCTTGTCGCCGACTTTACTATGTCGCCAGGTCAAGTCGACTACGATACGCCTGTTGCGGGAGTCTTTTTTATCACCACAATCCAAAACATTTTAAAATTCGCTGCTGCTACCATCGCCATTGTTATCGTGAACCTTTCTACGATCGTAATTGTTATTGTTGCTTCTGCCGCTGCTGCTGCTACTAATCGGGTATCCAAAGTTTCTAATCAGCGTCAACTCCGGTGAACCTGACGGGTTATTCGCTAGCGTCGTGACTGCTGGCATGCCAATTTGCTCAGTGGTCAGATGGTGGTACTTGATTCTTATGCTGTATGCTGGTTGACTGTAGTTGGTTCTTTGAAGGAACGTTCTGGGAAGAGCCCCAAGTTAATTCCAAATGCGTAGGAACGAATCCCAAGAACCCGTCGCTACTGCCATGCCGTCTTCCGTAACCCCAAGGCAAGACACGCGATTGTCATGCCCAGCAAGAATGCCTGAAAAATAGAGTTTAAACATAAATATATTTTTAATGTGTAATAGTGATAATGTTATTTAATAACAAAATATTGAAAATAATAAATGCGATAAAAAAAAACATCATCGAGAGAGAAGGACCTCAAACGAAATCTCTCTTCTCTCTTGAAAAAAATCTATCATTCACGAGATATCAATTCAATTTACCAGCTCGTTCCGTCTTCATGGAATCCCAAACATTGCAATTGAAATCGTCGTAGCCCGCCAGCAATAATCTACCGCTCTTGCTGAAAGCTACACTGGTGATACCGCAAATGATATTGTCGTGACTGTACATCGCGAGTTCCTGATCTGCTCTAATATCGAAGAGTCTGCAGGTCGCATCATCCGAGCCTGTCGCGAAAGCGTATCCGTTCGGGAAGAACTGTAAATAATAAATCAAATCGTCAAAAAAATTCTTTTTCGAAAGCACGGTAGTAGCGACGTTCACAAAAATATAATTATTTTTATTCACTTAATGAAAAGTATCTCTCACCGTTACGGCATTTATGTCACTCTCGTGACCCGGGAAAGTCTGCTTGCAGGATCCTTCGCGAATATCCCATAATTTTGCACTAGCGTCGCATGCGCCGGATACAAAAGTGCGTGTATCAGGCGCCAACGACAAGGACATCACATCGCCAGTATGCCCGATGAACGAGGTGCACTGCTGGCCGGTCTCGATGTCCCATAGAGCACTAAATCAGAACAATTCAGCGTTCTAGTTCGCCTCACAATCTTCAAGAATCTTCAGGAGTCTTCAGGAATCTTCAGGAGTCTTCATGATTACACTTAATGATGGAAACTTGGGATAAGGAATAGGAAGAATTTCTTACAAATATATTTTTATTGAGAGCTCTTGTTTCACTTTTCATAACGTTTTGTATTTTTTTAATAGCTAATTGAGAGGTTTATTTTTTATATATATTCATGATTTCTTCTTAATATATGCTTTCAAATTATAAAAATTATAAAAATTATAAAATAATAAAAAAGTTGCAATTTAATTACATTTTATATTAAAGTTTTATTTGCAGTAAATTTCTAGATTTACTTACCAAGACATGTCGCCGGAACTAGTGACGATCTGGTTGTCGTCGTAGAATCGACAGCAGGACAAATACCCAGTGTGACCCGGAAGCTCTCTGCTCACCCGCACATTACCTTCCCTAGTTTTAAGGCTATAGATGGAACAGATATTGTCCAGCCCACCGCACGCTACATAACTACCCGAGGGCGCGTATGCACAAGTCATTACCCATGAGGACCGCAATGGAATTGCGTGAACCTTATTGGTGGTATAACTGTCCCAAACGATCAGTTTGCCGTCTTGCGATGCGGAGACTAGATTCCTATATACGAAAAGTACAAAACATCCTGAAGAAAACGTGTAAAAGTAAAAGGGGAGAGAAAAATCTTTCTTTATGTTATAATATCTTTCCTAAATTTTTCAAATTTTAAAGTTTTATGACGTAAAAAAATATATATTTAAGCAATAGCTGTAAATATTTATGTTTTTGTTTTCTCGAATCTTGTTTTTCATATAGAATTCACAAATAAAATTTTATTTACATTGAGATTTCACACCAATGTGCCATCATCTAATCATCTACATCTAACATCATACCTGGAGTCACTTCCCCAATGCATCGCATAAATCTTAGCTAAGTGACCGCGAAGCGTACGTCTCGTGCGCATTTGTATGCGACCGATAGGTTCCATGCCCGATGTGGCCTGGGCCAAGGACGTGTCGCATGCTGCTTTCCTGGCATCCTGCAGCATGAGATCATATGCAAATTCATAAATCAATTTACGATCTATTTCTCGCATTTGATCTCTAACGCACGTAATGATCCGCAATAAGTATTTAAGTTATTATTGTTAGTCGCAAAAGAATATGACGAATAAAAATCTCATTCACATTCTATGGTAATTAAGGCATGAATATTTAACACGTTAAAATGACATTCTAATCAGAAGATGTTGACTAGTAATCCATGTCGTCATCGTATAAATTTAGGAAATTATACATAAAAATGTTATTTAATTCCATGCCCATGTATACACGAATTCAGCACAAAAGGTCAAACGACCAAACATGCTGCTGAACAGAATGTTAAAAATTCCCATGAATTTTAAGGAATTAGAAAAAGGAAGTTACGGGGTGAGAAAAAGGATTTTCAGTGAATTGTCGACGTGCTCGCGTGTCTTTAGTCCGATATTATGCCGCAATTTTGCCTTTCAGTTGACCTTTCAGATCGAATCGTAATGCAGTAGTACATTTAAAGTGATTTAATATTAGTTGGATATAACTTCTTACCGTTCGTAGTAATAATATTAATCTCTCTTCATATTTCAAGATAATTATTAAATTCTACAGTAAAACTGCGCAAATGCTAAATCTGTAATTTGATTTTGCAAGTTGTAATAATTGCAACTTACCCTATATTACTTCATTGAAATCTAATTTTCAATAAAACAATGTGAAATAGTTTAGAAATTTCATAAAAAATATCAAAAAAATACATTGATGATGAAGACAACGTCAAAAATATTAACATAAAATTTCAATCATTATTTTAAAAATGTTAATCACAATTGAAGAAAATATTTAAACATTTATTAATATATCTCAATAAAACTTGAGATAAAAATTTGATAAGAAATATCAAAGAAATATATTAATGGTAAAGACAGTGTCAAAAATGTGAATTATACGAAATGTCAATCATTATTTTAAAAAATGTTATGCGCAATTAAAAAAAATATTTGAACATTTATAGTATATCTCAATAAAACAATTTGAGATAAAAATTTGATAAGAAATAGTAAAGAAATATATCAATGGTGAAAACAGAGTAAAAAATGTTAATTATACGAAATGTCAATCATCATTTAAAAAAATGTTATGCTCAATTAAAGAAAATATTTGAACATTAATGATATACGCATGTGTTATTGCGCGATGTACATTGGCAATTTTATTTGCTAAACAAGGTTGCAGCACGCGTCATAAATAATTAGCAGACAAGACCAATAGCGTAGTCCTTTTATCGTAAGCGCATATTTCCGCGCATACCGTGCGAGCGCGTGCATTTTATGCATGTATAAGAGGGAAAGGCAGGGATGAGGGGAACGCATAGAAGAAAGAGAGACGAATACATCGAGAGAAGAAACAAGACATGGAGTGAGAGAGAGAGAGAGAGGGATGGTGGCGTATTGATCAGAGAAGCGACGGTTATGCCGCGCCCTACCACCACCACACTACCACCACCTAACCAGCTTCATATCCTCACAACTATACGGAAAATCATTCGCCATATAAACGAGGTAAAAGAAGAAGAGTAGATGAATATATCTTTTATCGGTTAAAATTTATGATAACGTCAAGAATAAAGAAAGATGCGGAAGAGAGTTATATAAAATTGGCATATAAAATCTGGCATATAAAAATAAGCCAATTTGATATTTTTTTATAGGCTTAAGCAATTTAATGTTACAAAGTTAAATATTGTCGTTTCAGTCTAACAAATTTGCTTTAGCATTTGTATACCATAATTGCACGCAAGCAATCTATTTTTTCCTTCAACAAATGCAATTAAAGATATCATAATACAACAAATAATTATTTATTAACCAATATTTCCTTTAATTTGAAAGATATATTTCGCGAAAATCGCGAATAAACTGTTTTTAGAAAAACAAATCTTTCTATATAGGATAAAAAAAAAAAAAAAGAAAAAATAATCTTGAAGCGGGTACTTACCCGAATGGAATTTTTCAGCGTCTCCGCCTCCTGACGAAGACTGTCGAGCTCGTTCATGATGTCTGGCAGATGACGTGCGAGGCTTATGAGAGCCCGTTAACGGGGCCGAGAGATACTGGAACGTCGCAAGGGTGAGACTGAGGAAGCTCTCTCCTCTGGTTTCGCCTCGGAGAGGGCTCACAGAATGTAATTTCTACGATGATGACGGATGACGGTGACTCCTGTCTGTGCGGCGCTTACTCCTCCGCGGGAGAAAGGCCGATCGCGAGGCCGGTGTCACGCCGTCGAGAGTCCTTCCGGCGGCCACTGGCGAACCCTTCCGAATGTACCACTTCCGTAAGACAGGATCCGAAGTAAAAGAAGAAGAGGTAGATGCCAATGGGAATGAGGATAAGATCCGCACCGTCTTCTTCCAACGAAATCAGAGCTACCGGCAGCTTTTCCCGGCCCCACCTCCTCGTCTTCTGCCTTTGCTATTGCCTTCGCGGCTTCCGCTTCCGCCGCTACCACCGGAATCAGAGCCAGACCACAGCTGACTTCTCCGCCCCACACGCCAGCTTCGACACTTCTTGACGAGACCGTTGCCACCTCTGAAACACAATATTTCAAATTAGTCAACTCAATTGTCCGTGATAAGCTTGTATATACTTAAATCATAGTATATGGAAATGGAGTCTGAAAGTATGAGCCTGAAAATTATTTCCCTCTATGGTATCGTGTCGGTATTCTTTATTAAAATGACGAAGAAAAATGTTGAAATCTTTTTAATATATGTATAAAGCTTTCAATTTATATAAAATAAAATGCAAATGTTAATTCATCTTTTCTCGACATTTGCAAGAATTTATCCTTTCGTACGGAGAAATTCTAAAAGTGCTAAATTAACAATAACTCCATATTTGTCACATGTATTTGCTGTATGTATTTGCACAATGTTTTACATAATGTGCGCGAACAACGCACGGCTTTTGCTACAACTCGAGGAAAATGAACAGACGGCATACCAAAAGGCAAACGTCATCCGAGAATTACCGCGGTTTCTTAATGACTGTAATAGATAATAGCGTCGACTTTGCACGCGGCATACAATACGTGTTATCAACGCAATGTTGCGAAAATCTACATATGCTCGAAGAGATATCAGAGACTGTGAGATATCAAAGTATAAAAATATCGAAGATTTTAAAAATGTCGAAATTTAAATAATTAAATATTTATATATATACTCTCTCTCTAATAGTAATGAATTAGAGCCTCTCAAACTTAAATATTTATTACATCGCTATTTTTGGATCGTCTAGTTAATTGGCACATGTGCTGCTTCCGAACGTAATACGCCAGTGAAAATAAATAGTTATTTCCAGACGCGCGTAATAATTCATATTAAAAAGCTTGCATATTAAAATAAGACATTCTATTTTGTCATACGAGAAAGAGAGAGAATAAGATAAATAAAATTAAAAATTTCATTATATATGATTGCGACTCTCATTTTCGCGAAACCTGTGCATAGAAAAAAATCATTCTAAGTGCTAAATTAAAGTGCATTATTGAAGAAAAGACTCGTCTCTCTCTCTCTCTCTCTCTCTCTCTCTCTCTCTCTCTCTCTCTCTCTCTCTCTCTCTCTCTCTACCAACAGGACAACGGCTTTAATTAAAATAATTGCATATAGCCATTCTATATTAACGGCAGAACGTTTCTTTGATCGAACACATATATGTATATATATATATATATATATGTACATCTATATATAACACACGCACGCACGTACGTACGTATATAAGCCGGCGCGTGTAAAGAAAAACAAAATATAATTATCGGATCACTAAAAATATTTCGGTTGTGACGGGTGCGCAGATATTTTTATCGCAACCTCTGTCTCTTTCTCTCCCCTTTTCTCTGCCGAGTTGCAGCGATTCGAGATTCGAGTTTCCGTCAGCGTATACTTTTCCTTGAGAAAAACGTCAGCCACGCGACGTATATCACCGTCACGACGGCGAACGGATCCGTCGACGCCAATGCAACTAGTTATTGCAATGTAATATCGATACTCGGAAAACCGATAATTGACTGAAAACTACTGACACGTTTGCCATTTCTATTTTAGATAAGTTACCAATTTTATCTATTTTTTGAAGAAAAAACATACATATTGGACTGTGTAATCATTGTCGAAAATAGTAGAGTACAATATTAAAAAGAAGAAATGTGTGTTATTTTTTTGAGAAGACAAAATCTCTGCTGTATTTAGGAAGTTCCCAATAAATTTTTCTCTCTTGTCTTCTATTTTAATATTTTATACATTAACATTCAAAATAATTGTCTTAATTTTGCTGAGAATGTGCATAATAAATCATATGATTCCCGAACTAAAATTGATCCAAACTATTAGAATCGAAAATTATTCTACTTTGAATCTTGCAAGAAAAATCTCAGAAATGATAAACAAGTATATGTTACATATTTTTTATCATTATGTTAAAATCAAATTAATTATTCTAAGCTTATTTATGCTTTGTAGGTTCAAACAATAAATTGTTCAAATTTTATTAATACTGAAAACTTTCAAGTTTCCTCTATCGAAAACAAGGCAAAACTTTCCTCAATATTACATCGCTCTGTTAAAAAATTGCCTCGCAAATTAGCATAATTAATTACGTTCGAATAATTAAGTAATCCACGATGCGTTTTTCACATTCGCAAAATTTCATGACCCGGGGAAACCGAGGGTCGACTCAATGCGAAATATTTTCATTTTCCGGAGAAAATCGACGAGAATTAAATTTGTTGCACGCGCAAATACTATAAAAAGAATAATCATTTTTTTCTAATTACAATATACAACGCGAATTAATATAATCCAGCCAATTAGAAGAAAAATCCATCCAATTAGAAAAAAATTTGTATTTGGTCATATTATGCTTGAACAATCCTTGGGAAAGTAATTTGCATATGAGAATAAAAAAGAAAAGAATTAACTCGAGATAAAAATGGCAATAAGAGCCAAGTGTAATAACTAGGACGTATATACTTTATTGTAAATCTAAAATGTGGATCACAAGTATATAAATAGCCTACGTTTTGGGTCTAAGAATACTGAGAATATCGCAAGAAAATCACTTGATGAATATAATTATGAATATATGTAGAATAATGATTCATATTTAAGCGAAATTGTGTCGATGATGAAGAAAGTATTACGAAAAAGAAAAACAAAAGGAAATATAAATATTCTTATAAATATGCAATTAAAGAAATAAATTAGATAATTGTAATACGACAGATACAACATAATAAAAATTAATATTTTATATAAGCTCTCTCTCTCTCTCTCTCTCTCATTTGTCAAAATAAACTATTCCAGACAAAAATGCTATATGAAAGATTAACATTCATCAATATAAAAAATAGACATACAAATCATATATATGTTAGTTTTTCATAAAATCAATATATAAGATCTATTAATAAATCGTTATTTATATTAATAATGGCACACCTTTAGCTATGTAAAAGGACCAAAGTACCATCTATGAAATGAATCGTCACGGATTATATTTTGGACATTTTTACCCCCGCTTTTGATCCAAAAAGATTCTCATTGTTAAAATCACGTCGGCAGTGACACATAAGAACCTCATACTATCGATGAGTAATCGACGATAAGCCGCTTGTCCCGGCTGAGATACGAAGGCCGATGAATCTGCGAGGCTTTCGCGAATTATCGATAACGAGAAAGGGCGCTATTGACGCCAGGGGAAAACGCGGGCGACGTCACGTATAGTATATCGGCTTTTCTGCTTTTTCCGTGCGCCATTGTCCCGGCTAACTAACTCGGACGAGCAGCGGAGAATCTCTCGCCGCGGCTTCGATCGGCTAGGGGGAAAAAAAAGTGGAGAGAGAAAGAGAGAGAAAAAAAGAGGCGACGCGACGCGTCCTCGCCTACGAAGGTGTCGAAGCGGAAAGGAAGGTTCACATGCATCGATGGAACTCACTCGCTCCGTCCCACCGTCACCGCCACTGCTGTCAGAGGAGCGTCATCGAGCCCGCGGCGACATAACCTCTCCCGTACGCGGTAGAGCCACCACCACGATCACGAGCACGACCACCACCACCAGCAGCAGCAGGAGCACCGCTACCACCACCACTACTGGGTCGAAACGGATTTGCAACCCCGTCAAAAGCGCCGCCACTCGTCACCGCCAGGTTGCGCTCGTCGAAACGCGACTTCGCGCGAGAAGAATAATCCACCCCCGGCGACGAGGAGACGCCGGAGAATTTTTAAGTCCAGCTCAGAATGACAGCTGACGTGGAGGAAGAGCCGGAGAACCTCGGAGTTCTCCACTTTTCAGATTCAGTTCCCACTTTCTCTACGCGGTCTCGTCCTTGGGACTCTATTCCCAGATTAACCCGTCGTTAAATTTCACTGGACTCGACACGGAGCTCTAGGAACAAGCATATACACGCACGCACGCAACCTGAAGACGAATCGATTGAACGTCGTCGTGCGGCTCACCCCACTCGTCGCTCTTTTTCTCCTTCTCTCCCTTTCTATTTAATATCCATGTACATCCTTTTTTTGCGCGTTCGCTCTCGCCGCACCGTCTCGTTTCCAGCGATCGTTCTCGGGCGCGTGAACTCACGAAGGATACGGAGGAACGAGCGTCGTCGACGAGGTGAGCGAGTCCGAGACGACGCGCACTTCGACCGGAGAGCCGACGTCTCGGCAATCTCTGAACCACACCCAAGGAAGGACGTGATTTCGAGAGAAGGCCGGCCGGGAGGACGAGTCGCTCGAGGTGGGAGAGATGACGCTGGCGCCAGTGCGCCCGCGTACCGAGCAGCCGGCGTCCGAGAGGACGCCGTCGTCGACGTCCTCGTCGTCGGACTCGACGATGACAGGTTGCTGCTCGAGCCGTTAGCTCAGTGTATACTGTCAAATCTTAGAGAAATTTCTTTTCTGAGGATTCTGTATGATTTTCCAGCAGATACCTTTGCTCAATTCCAGGTCAAATTACAGGATTTTAAATAATATTTAAAATACAATTTGGAAATAAATTTTTACGTCATTTTTTTACATATATGTATTTTTTAATATAATAATGTAATATGTAGTATTATATTATAATAAAATATGTTTTTCCGGTCTTTTCGCAGGGAGTATATACTCTGTTAGTTGTTGTTGCTGCTAGCAACCTGATAATCATTCATCCGGGAAAAGTGGAGTGGATAATTATTATGAACACACACCGAGAGTACTATGTCATTGCGCGAGAAACGACGAGAAATTAAAGAAAGTCGAGCAACATAAAAAAAGCAGATATTCTAAAGAGCGAGCAAAAAACATTCGGAGAGCAGGAAAGTAGTTAAACTAATATTGATATTGATCGCGCTGATAATTGCGTATTGTTGATTTAAGACGTGAGAGAAACGCAATTTTAATTAGAAACGTGACTTAACATCAATCTTCGTGTCGAAAAACAAGAAATTAATTCAAATCGATACCACGTTCAACATTTATTTATATTATGACAGGTGGCATTGTGCCAAGCCTCGGTGACAGTTAATGCCAGATTAAACTCGAGCTTTAAATGGCAAAGAATTATTTTTGTCACGGTGAGAAAAAAAAATAAAATAAAATAATTGAAATATCACGCTCTTGATACAGAAAATTCCATTATAAAAAAATTTCAAAAATAATTGATCACAAATCTCCATTCAGGCAAAGTCGCAAAAATTTCGGAGCAAAGCAACATCTTGAATTCAATAATGATCAATTAATTTTTTACAATTTTTCGTCACACAATCAAACCGCAGTGTCGTCGAAAACTTTTTATCATCCCTTTCATGAAATCTGCATACGCGAAGGACTTTTATTCACTTGAGAGACATCCGCTGTTGGCAAACATATTTTCGACGACAAAAAACGCGTGTCTCGCGAACAAATTTGATCGCATACAGCAGTTCTCAGGATTAAGGAAAAGAAAATTTCACTATAAAAAATTTTCAAAAATAATTAATTACAAATTTCCATTCGAGCAAAGTCGCAAAAATTTCGGAGCAAAGCAACATCTTGAATTCAGTAAGAATCAATTAATTTTTTACAATTAACGTCACGCAGCTCAACCGTAGTCTCATCGAAAGCTTTTTGTCATCCCTTTCGTGAAATTTGCATAGGATTTTATCCACTTGAGAGACGTCCGCTGTTGGCAAACATATTTTCGACGACAAAAAATGCGTGTCTCGCGAGAACGAATTTATTATCGTGCAGCGGTTCTCAGGATCAAGCCCGCGGCGCAAACACTCGAGACAGCCTAACGGAAGAGTCGTTTCATTATCAAATTCCCTAAGCCGTTTCCCTTCAACGGGCTCCCGGATGCGCGAATGGGAGCAACAGTTGAGCCACGCGGGTCAACGTCCAATGTGATCTCGCTCTCTCCCGGTCTCTCCCCCTTCGATGTACGTCGACTGTACACAACCACGGGGCTGCTGCCAAGTACCCCCCTCCCCACACACCCGAACGCGTACACTGCCGATGCCTTTGACAAGCGTGCTCTTTGGGGTACCGAAGGGTTAAAAAAAAAAAAAAAAGGGTCAAAACGCGCGCCGACAGTTGCTCAACAGGCGGGCGCAGATGAGTCGACAAGTTGCACCTGCGCGGGTATTTCCGGTTAGGACAGCTAATTTTATGACTTCTGTCATGCTCGTATATTCGAATGTAAATCGAAGATAAAGAAGGTTTTTAATTAAATTTTTGCATCAATTATTTTCCCCGGCTCGATGCGACCGAGTGCGTTAGGATGAATACTCAAATCTTAGGAATAAATTCCCTGAGGATTCCATGATTTTACATTTGTTCAAAATATTCCAGGTAAAATTAAAGTATTTTAAATAATATTTATAGAATACAATTTTGAAATAAGTTTATTTGTTATACATAATTTTTTAACATAAATGAAGTATTTGTTTAATATAATAATGTAATATATAGTATAATATAATAAAATATATATATTTTAATATATACTTTATATAAATCTAATAAATTTTATATTCTTTGAAACTATATTTTAAAATCAAAGGGACAATTTTTTTTCATTCCTTGAGTTCAAATCAAATTCCCTGAGAATTCCAGATTGATACTCAGGTACCCTGAGTGTGTAATCGAATTTTTATTGACCTTCCCTAGATTTTATATTCTGATACGGTTCTATCGAAATCTTTATATAGAGATGCCTCTCGAAACTAAAGTTAATAATAATGATTAAAGCACACTTTTTCGCAAAACACATATCTCTTTTCTCGAAATTAAATCCAGATATCATTCAGTTATCAGTGAATCACATTAGTTAAAATCATAGGAAGCTAAATGTCTCACTTTAGTGCGGAATCATCGATACCTTAAAATACGTCATGACGTAAATGCATTGATCGATCGATCAAGGTTCGCGTGTTACGATTCGTACTCATTTTCTTTTTTGAGAGTGTTCTTTTTGTTTCAGTAGCGTTTATCTCAATGATTTACCAAAATAGCGAGATAGATACAAATGAAATTACACGCTTGGGTCATCGAATCCTAAGACGGAGAAGAAATGATACGGCGCACGCGAAGAAGGGAGAGGAAGATGTACAGGTAAATGACGTTAGAAGGTGAGTTGTGACGTCAGAAAGTAACCTGAAGCAGGCCGCGTGGCGCCATCGGTTGCCCGTTAATTTCTAGATGCCGAGGGAGACGTCCTCGTTTCTATATTAGGACCTAATGCAATATCTAACACAGAATGCTCGGCTTTTTTTTCTAAACGTGTCATCGCGTGGGCGTTGCACAAAGAGAGAGTCGACTTTCTTGCGGACGATAAAAAATTTGATTATATTAAAAACTGTCTCCGGTCGCATAAAACAGGGATAAATGCGCGTGTGAATGCGCGTGTAACTCCTGATTGATCGCATGCTTAGAGGTACAACTGGACCGTATAAATTACATTACATTCAATACACCTGGTATATAATATTGATCGTACAGCTTCGACATCAATGAACGGCATTTAATGTTCGCGAACGTGGTACTGCGCTATAAAATGGAATCGCCGGTGCTACTTTATGAATGAAAATAGTGTCACGAGAAGAAAGTTCGACTTTCGCGACGAGCAGATTCCAATTAACCGGCAGAAAAAAAACAGACAATTCGTCAGGCGAATTTATAGGCGGAGGAAATTTGCTAAATCCAATTTGCTTGCCGATGTTTTTTTTATCGTAATCATTATCGTACACTGCAAAACTTCGTGTTAAACTCTGTCCTAGTTTAATGCAGTCGCGTGACGTCATTAGCCTTACGAGAAGAATTGCTTGCCGCATAAAATGCGTCTATGAGATTTTTTCCAAGTGTCTTAACGGTGTTCCAATTTCACGACTTATGATTTATATAATTACGCAACGCAAATACATAATAATTATTGCGTAACAGTTTAACATTAAGACAATATTATATAAATTACGTATGAGGATGCGAACGATTATTCAATCTACATGATTTAAATCAAACTTTAGTGCAGAGAAAATTGACAAAGCAACTGTTAAATTAACAAGCCGACCTTTTTTTATTATATTGTTATTGATTTATCACCTTCCGTTTTATCTCCCACTCGGAATTACTCCCTATCCCCAGAAGAGACGATATCTCGGTGACAAATATAAGACAGACAGAAGGACGCGATGAAACGGGACGTGAGATTATAAGAGGAGAAAGGAGGGCTGGCAGTTGAGAGATCAGAAAAGGGCTTAACATTGAGAAACATCATCCAGCTCGAACACGTTGACCCTTTTGCATCGGTTAATTAACGCGACCTACTAACCGTCCTGTAGACCGCGATCGCTATTTAAGAGGCTCCTTGACGAGTGTTTCCTATCGAAGACACATCTGCACAAAACTCATCACCGTTCGGCACACGTGACGTTATCTACCGCGATGAAATTATACGGAATCGCACACGAGCAGAGTAACAGTAGTTCCGGATGGGTTTAACTTCCTACGCAAATACAGTCGCAATTGAGAACAATATTCAACTTGCACAAAGTCAGCACCGTGTTAGCAGTATCTTTGTAAAATATATAGAGAGGGATTCAGGAGGAATTACTCATTTAATTAATTAAAGTTTAATTTTGTATGTGAATGAAACGTTAGGGAAATATAACTCACAAGATTAAAGATTAAATGCAGAGTATTAAAAATTCAATATGTGTATATTGCGTAACTATGAAAAGAAAAAAAATACGTCAAAGTAGATTTTATAAAATAATCCACGATTCTATAAATAAATTCACGATTACAAAATGTACTATAAAATAAGATGAGACGTTTAATATGTATCTGAAACACCCCGAGATATTTTTCTGATCGAACGTATCTCTCGCGTTTCGGGAGGATCTCGTGGGAATCGAAGAAATGTGAGCGATTTATTGCGGCGTGCAATTGATTCCTCGGCCAGCCTAATCGGTAGTATCGATAACGCACATGATAGTCGATGTGTCTCAAGTGGAATGCTGTCAATTGAGACTCAAGACGCCACTTGTCTCCATCGCGCACGACAACTTTATATTCCGCGGCAATTAAAGCCGATTAAGACAGCCGTGGCCGACAATTGGTCGACCAATTGCGAGACGAAATTGTGACGCGCGCGTCGCAAGAAACTATTTTTTCCCCATTTATTCACCAAAGCTCAGACGTTTCGCCCAACATTTTTTTTTTCACGTTTG